GCTGAGGCCAAGTCTGGTACGGCCCACCTCACCTTGGCATCTGCCAGAGGGTTTTGTAGCATGGCCCAGCCCAGCCCATCCCCAATTCCAGCTGACACTGGAGAGGGTTACAGCCTAGCCCAGGCCAACACGCATCCATCCCCAGCCATAATGTGTACTGGTGTGTGTTGCATCTGAACCTGGCACAACCCACACTCTGTTCTGGTGCTCAGATTCACCAGCAGGTGATGTGAACTGGTTCAGCCTGGTCCACCCCCAACCTGTGCCAAATATACGACGGTGGGTATCTCGATGGTCCTGATGGTGCCTGAAATCTTGAAAGGGATCACGTAGGGAAGAGGAGATCAATAAGATGTTCATGATAGCATAGCGATTAAAGTCCTCGCCTTGAACGCCCTGGAGATAGGGGCAGCACAGGCTGTTGCGCTCACTTGGGGAGTGAATCATCGGATGGAAAATCTTACTCTCTGTGTCTCCTCCTCTCTGCATATCTGACTTTGCAATAAAAAAATAAAATGAAATCTTTAAAGAAAAAAGATGTTTGAGGAAGGAGAATCAAGATGGCGGAATAGGGTAAGGACACAGTTGCACAGAGAAACATTAGCCAGTGTGAAGCAGCGAGGGCACATGCAAGGAAATAGGAGAGCACAGAATGACAGCAGAAGGGCACTTGGAGACGGACAGACATGGGAAAGCAGCAAATACAACGGTGTGGTGTTGCAGTGACCAGTACCTCAATGCCATTCAGCAAGCAGCGATCTGAACTCGAGCAGCAGCTGGAACTTAGCAGCAACAAGGTGGGAAGCGACATTCTCTAGGAGCTCAGTAGATAAACCCAAAGAACTGTGCATCCTACTGTTTCGCTGGATTTGACCAGAAGCAGACAGAGCAACAGGTCCCAGACGGGTGGTGCAGGAACAGGGCAATTTTCACAGCCCATACAATCCCTGGAGCCAAAGCAGGCGCCATTCTGTGTAAGGAGGCAAAGGCTATGGGAAAGACTCTGCATGCACTGAACTGGGAGTGAACTCATTTCTGGCTCAGTGAACTGCAACAGCGTGGCATCCTACAGGTTCCATCCAAGACAGGTCCAGGTAGCTCTCAGACCTAACAGCCAGCAGATCAAGAACTCTAGTAGTGGCACATCGGGCACCATTTTGTACAGGGTGGCAAAGAATTTAAGACTGCAGGGACAGTGCTGAGCTATGCATGTGCTGAGCTGGGAGTGAACTCACTGAGCTCAGTGCATTGCACTGGCCCCACAGTTAAAATAATACCAACTATGGCTTCATACGGGTCAAAATAGTTCTGTGTGGCCCTCAGTCCTAATGGCCAAAAGGTTCCGGTAAGATCAGCACCAACCAAAACCTAGCTATATAGGACACCTGGTGTCTCCCTCATCTTGGGACCTGCTCCAACCTGAAGTGGGAGAAAGGTTGTACAGACAATGGTGCAGCCTCAGCATGGTATCACAGGAGGTGGAGACTGGTGAGCCAGGAGCTGGGGCTACTGAGACCATGGTGGAAATCTAATGTAAGAACCCAGACCTGGAACTCGCTGGAGGGAGTGGCACAAGTGACTGCAAACAAAGAGCCATGTACCAACTGCAATAAGTAAAATCAAACTGTAGACCTGTGGGTGACACGACTTAGAAACATGCCCCAAGGAGAAGACTCTGAAGTACAATGACCAAGAGCAGAAGGGACAAAGGCACATGAATATTACGGAAGACTCCCTTGCAAAGGAGCAAAATCCTTTGCCAACCACAGAGTTCACTGAGGAAGACATGGAGAAAATGTGGGATACAGAATTCAAAACACTTGTTATAAAACTTATCAACAACAAGAAGCATGTAATGCAGGAGTTGAAGTAATTTAAGGAATATGTCACACAGGAAATGAATCAAATGAAAGCTGATATACCAGAAATGAAGAATAGAATGGAGCAAATTAAAAGTACAGTGGTGGGCCTGGCGTGGTGGCCTAGTGGCTAAGTCCGCACCCTGAACTTCCCTGAAACGGGCGCTGGTTCTAATCCGCCACCACTGCGCCGGGCCCTAATTTTTTTTTTTTTTTAAAGATTCATTTATTTTTATTGGAAAGGCAGATATACAGAGAGGAGGAGAGACAGAGAGGAAGACCTCCTGTCCGATGGTTCACTCCTCAAGTGACTGCAACAGCTGATGCTGTGCCAGTCCCAAGTCAGGAGCCAGGAGCTTTCTCCAAGTCTCCCACTGGGGCGCAGGGTCCCAAGACTTCGGGCCATCCTTGACTGCTTTCCCAGGCCACAAGCAGGGAGCTGGATGGGAAGCAGGGCCACTGGGATTAGAACCGGCGCCCGTATGAGATCCGGGTGAGTGCAAGGTGAGGACTTTAACCACTGTGCTATCGCACTCCCCCCGCCACTTCATTTTTATTGAGCTCTGTGCTTATGGCCTGGGAAAGCAGCAGAGGGTGGCCCAAAGCCTTGAGTTGCTGCACTCACATGGGAGACCCGAAAGAGACTCCTGGCTCCAGATTTTATATCAGCTCAGCTCTTGCTGTTGCAGTCAGTTGGGGAATGTATCAGCAGGTGGAAGTCATCTCTGTCTCCTTCTATCTCTGTAACTTTGCCTTTCGAATAAATTAGTAAAACGTTATTTTGAGAGGCAGATTGATATAGACATGGAGTGACCATTCCCATTTACTGGTCCTGCAGGGGCTGACCTGAAGCCAGGATATAATTATTTTATTTATTTATTTATTTATTTATTTATTTATTATTTTTAAAAGCCAGGATATAATTCCATCCAAGTTTTCCATGCAGGTGGCAGGAATTCAACTTCTGAGACATCACCAGCACCTTGCAGGTTCTGCAGTAACAGTAAGGTGGGGTCAGGAGATGGAACCTGGACTCCAACCCAGATATTCCCATGTGGGATTTGGGCATGCTGACCAATGTTTCACCCACCAGGTCAGAACCAGCTCTTGGTTTGAAGGTTTTAAGGAGCTCAGAGAATCATGAGGCTACATTGGGGAGCCATCAGGAATGGAAGCAATGGTCAGGGGTTGGGGGGGGTGGTTGCTTGAATCAGAGATTCCAGAGATAATGAGTGCAGTTAGTAGCAATAGCCAACACAAGCATGACCTTGATGGGGGAATTACGGACGTGTGGATGGCTAACATAGGAATGACTGTTGTGGGTGGGAATCTGAAAGTGCCAGGTGAGCTATCCAAAGGACTGGTGAAAGATGGACAGAAGTGGAAGAGAGCAGTGGTCCAGTGTCCAGAAGCTAGGGATTTTGAAAAGTCCTACTGACTGGTTCCACATTGATTTTGCATTTTTTAATTTGTTTTTCCAAAGCAAGCACTTGAAAAATGTTAGTTATTTAAAAAGAGGGTTAGAATTCTAGCTCTAGTTCATAGGATATTACAATATTTTACGTGCAGCTAATTCCCACAACCTGGTTCTTTACCATGAGCTGAAAACACCAGACGCAACGAAGTATCTTAGGAGGTTTATTCCAGAGTGATAGGGTGATAGGAACTAGTGGAGGTTGTGGAAATCAGATAAAAGGGGAGAAGGAAGCAGCTGGGGCATTTTTATGCAGGTAGACCCACAAGGTTGGGGGGGTGGGGATTGGGAGGGTTTGAGGGCAGGCCCCAGGGGATTAGTGCCTGGGGATCATTGGTGAGTTGGTGGTATTGGGGAAGGGGCTGGAAGATTGGGGGTGGGATTCTCAGGTGAAATGCTGGGTTACATCTGATTGGTGGATGGCTGGACTGGTGAGAATTTCGTGAGCTGAGAGGAAGAAGGAATGGTGCCGGGTCCAGGGAGGGATATTGGAATAACTTACATAAAAAAAGAAAACAGTATTTGAAAGGCAGAAAGACAGAAAGAGACTGACACAGTCAGGGAGATCTCCCATCTGATGGTTCATTCCCTAAATGCAGCTCCTCCAGGCAGGGTTGGGGCAGGATAAGACCCCGGACCTAGGACATCAGGGCAGGCTCCCCAAGAGAGTGGAACAGAGCCAAGCACTTGAGCCATCACTTCTGCTGCCTGGGACGTGCCTTCGCAGAAAGTTGGAACCTGGGCAGTCCCATAAAGGCAGCAGGTACCACTAGAACAAATGCCTGCTTAAAAGTATATATATATAATATACATATATATATATATATATTTTTTTTATTGGAAAGGCAGATTTACAAAGAGAAGGAGACACAGACAGAAAGATCTCCCGGGCGCTGGTTCACTCCTCAAATGACCGCAAAGGTCAAAGCCCAATGACAGGAAGCCAGGAGCTTCTTCTGGGTCTCCCTCGGGGGGTGCAGGGTCCCAAGGCTTTGGGCCGTCCTCGACTGCTTTCCCAGGCCGCACGCAGGGAGCTAGAAGCTAAGTGGGGCCAACGGGACATGAACCGGCGTCCATATGGATACCGACGTTTGCATGAGATTAACCAATTGAACTATCGCGTCTGGCCCAACAACCCTGTATTTCTACAAGGTTCCATGCTGAAATCCCTATAGGTGAGGTGTGCTTACAATTGCAAAGATTTTATTTCTCCAACTTTACTGGCTCCGCCTGAGCTAGAATTGGTAACAGCGCCTCAGTTTGCGATTCAGAACCCGTAGAGCATTTGCTTTTCCAAGCAACGCTATCACCCAAGTGCTAACAGGAGCAATCAAGCCCGAGAAATCCATGGCTGCTTAAGGACTTGGTTATTGGCTTTCCCCGGAAAATCGCTCCAGCGAACCATTCAAATTTCCCCCTAGCAAATCACAGCGGCAGACAGCCAGCTTCCTCTAGTTCATTGGCCAACCGGAAACTTCAGAGCCCCCTCCGCACGTATTCTTCCCGCCTCTTACCGGAAGCCAATTGGAAAGATTCGCTCTTCGTCACGCAGCGTCATCTAGTACCGCGTCTGCCATTGGCTGCTGTAACTTGTCCATCAACTAGTAGGCGGGTCTGTGAGAACCTGGGCTATATAAGAAGAGGACAAAGGCGGCGCGCCGCCTGTGTCATCCGCCATTTTGTGCGAAGCAAGGTGGCCTCCACGTTCCCCGAGCGTCTTCTGCGCTTCTGCCTCGACCGCCCCTTGACCGCACCAATGTCTCGGGACCGGTTCCGGAGTCGCGGCGGCGGCGGCGGCGGCTTCCACCGGCGCGGAGGAGGCGGCGGCCGCGGTGGCCTTCACGACTTCCGCTCCCCGCCGCCAGGCATGGGCCTTAACCAGAACCGTGGTCCGATGGGTCCCGGCCCGGGCGGCCCTAAGCCCCCAATCCCGCCGCCGCCTCCGCACCAGCAGCAGCAACAGCAGCCGCAGCCGCAACCCCCGCCGCAGCAGCAACCTCCTCCACAGCAGCCGCCGCCGCATCAGCCGCCGCCGCCGCATCCACAAGCGCATCCTCAGCAGCAGCCGCCGCCGCCGCCGCAGCAGCAGCAGGACTCGTCCAAGCCCGTCGTGCCGCAGGGACCCGGGCCGGCTCCCGGGGTCGGGACGGCGCCGCCGGCCTCGGGCACGGCTCCACCGGCCACGCCGCCGGCCACCGGCGCCCCTCCGGGCCCGGGGCCCACCCCGACGCCGCCCCCCGCCGTGACCGCCGCCCCTCCGGGGGCGCCCCCGCCGGCCCCGCCGACCAGCGGCGTCCCGACCACTCCCCCGCAGACCGGGGGCGGCCCGCCGCCTCCACCCCCGCCGGCCGCCGGCCCCGTCCCGGGGCCAGGGCCTAAGCCGGGTCCCGGTCCCGGAGGCCCGAAAGGAGGCAAGATGCCCGGAGGCCCGAAACCCGGCGGCGGCCCGGGCCTGGGCACGCCCGGCGTGCACCCGAAGCCTCCGCACCGGGGCGGCGGGGAGCCTCGCGGGGGTCGCCAGCATCACCCGCCCTACCACCAGCAGCACCACCAGGGCCCTCCGCCCGGCGGGCCCGGCGGCCGCAGCGAAGAGAAAATCTCGGACTCGGAGGTGAGTCGCTCCTAAGATGGCGGCGGCCCCCTCGGCTCTCCGCGCCATGCCAGGCCTCCATCTTGTCGGCGGCGCGAGGGGCGCGTGCGCGGCGGGGTGGGACCGGGGCCGGCGGGACCCTGGGGGCGGGCCGGCGTGGATCTGGTGGGCTTCTGGGTGTCTGGGAGGTCGGAGCCGGCCGGGGGCCGCGGGACCTGGTAGACTGGGCTGTGTTGGAAAGGGGTGGCCGGGGAGGAGGCGTGCGGTGGGGCTAGGGTCCTGGGAGCGGGCCGTGGTGGACCTGTTGGGTCGGATGGGGGGTCTTTGAGGTCGGTGGCAGTGGGGCCCGCGGCGTGGCGGGCCGGGCCGTCCTGGTCCCGGGTCGGTTGTATGTTTGAGGTCGGTGGCCGAGGGAGTCGGGGCGCTCCGCCGGCTGCGTGCATGTCGGGGTTAGTGAGCGGTTGAGAAGGGATTCTTTGTGCCGCCCAGGCGGGGATTGCGTTCCAGCGTCTCTTCCTAGTGTTGGGAGAAGCTCCGTTTTGATATTAAACGGAAAAGCCCAGTCGGGGGTTTTCGTGCTTGGCGTTCGAAACATTCTCTCCCTGTTTCCTTAGGGGTTCAAAGCTAACTTGTCTCTGCTGAGGAGGCCTGGAGAGAAAACTTACACTCAGCGTTGTCGGTTGTTCGTTGGGAACCTACCCGCTGATATCACTGAGGACGAGTTCAAAAGGTTGTTTGCTAAATACGGAGAGCCCGGAGAAGTTTTTATCAACAAAGGCAAAGGATTCGGATTTATTAAACTTGTGAGTGTAACTGCTTGATTTCGCATAGTGTGAGGAAATACGAGGGGCTGGCTTTGGCCCATTGCGAATGTTTTTTGAATCGGGAGAGATGGAGTTGGTTACATGTCACCTGCTCAGGAGATAACTTGCTGCTCAGGAAAAGGGGGTGGGGTTGGTTGGAGGTGGAGGGATGGCTGGGGAGGAATTAGGATTGGTTTGGGTCGTTGACACGAGTTTCCCCAATACTTACAGGAATCTAGAGCTCTGGCTGAGATTGCCAAAGCTGAACTTGATGATACGCCCATGAGGGGTAGACAGCTTCGGGTTCGCTTTGCCACACATGCTGCCGCCCTTTCTGTTCGCAATCTGTCTCCGTATGTTTCCAATGAACTGTTGGAAGAAGCCTTTAGCCAGTTTGGTCCGATTGAGAGGGCTGTTGTAATTGTGGATGATCGTGGGCGATCCACAGGGAAAGGTATCGTGGAATTTGCTTCTAAGCCAGCAGCAAGGAAGGCTTTCGAACGATGCAGCGAAGGAGTGTTCCTGCTGACAACGTAAGTGTCCCCGGGTGTGTTCATCCTCTGCTGAGTGCGTTCACGTGTTGAAGGAGGAGGTCGCCATGCGACGGCTGACATGGGCTCTCTGTCCTCAGGACTCCGCGTCCAGTCATTGTGGAGCCGCTGGAACAGCTAGACGACGAGGACGGCCTTCCCGAGAAGCTGGCTCAGAAGAATCCCATGTATCAAAAGTAAGGCTGATGAAAATAATGTCTTCGCTCTGACTTTCCGATTTTGTTTAAAACGTCAACAGAATTATTTAGTAGTGGGCTATTTGACGTTGCTCGTTTAGTGAGATTGTGAAGTGTTTTGGCAGACAGTGTTTGAGCTTGGAAACCAGCTAAATGTGCTGTTCTGAGCGGACCTGGGATTGCTTGCTCATTGTGTTGGAGCTGTTTGTGCTTTTCTTTTTTTTTTTAATTTATTTTATTTTATTGGAAAGTCAGATATACATAGAGGAGAGACAGAGGAAGATCTTCAATCCGATGAATCACTCCCCAAGTGAGCGCAACGGTGGGTGCTGCGCCGATCTAGAGCCAGGAGCTCTTCCAGGTCTGCCACGCGGCTGCAGGGTCCCAAGGCTTTGGGTCATCCTACATTCCCAGGCCACAAGCAGGGAGCTGGATGGAAAGTGGCACTGCTGGGATTAAAACCGTTACTTTTAGGGCGAGGACTTTATCTGCTAGGCCATGGTGCCAGGCCCCAATTTGGGCTTTCTAACCATATTGTTTCTACGATCGTGATTTCTAATTGATACAGCATGAAAGTGAGTGTTTATGTATTTAAATATTATTAAAGCATGTTGGTCATAAATAAGCAAATTAATCTACAAGGTTGATGACAGGGAATGTTTTCCGTGTGCACCTATGTGATTCCTTACTAACGTTAGCCCTGGAAAAAGACCATTCTTCAAGGAATCCTAGTATGCATCCAGCTAAAATTCCACGTCTTTTCAGGGAGAGAGAAACTCCTCCTCGCTTTGCTCAGCATGGCACATTTGAGTATGAGTACTCCCAGCGATGGAAGTCTCTGGATGAAATGGAGAAACAGCAGAGAGAACAAGTTGAAAAAAATATGAAGGATGCAAAGGATAAATTGGAGAGCGAGATGGAAGATGCTTACCATGAGCATCAGGCGAATCTTTTGCGCCAAGGTAAAAATTCTCCCAAGTTGCCTTTTGAATATGAAAGCCTTATTGTATGTGTAGCCAAAACAACGTTTTCTGCTGTTTAGATCTAATGAGACGCCAGGAAGAATTAAGACGTATGGAAGAGCTTCACAATCAAGAAATGCAGAAGCGTAAAGAAATGCAATTGAGGTAAAGTTTGTTCCTTTGAAACTTCTCTGCACTGAAATTCTGATATTGAGGGCATGGGGGGAAATGTTCTCGCTGCTCTGCTCTCCTAGGGTCCTATGCTGGTTTTAGCATTAAGTTCATTGGGAGGCAGATAATTGGCCCCACATGTAAGATGCGTGCATCCTACATTTTTCTTTACAGTGCCTTGCATGCACACCATGGCAGACATCATAATAATAGCACTTGTAATTGTTCCAGTTGGGAGATTGTCAAAGTTTGTGGAAAGGGAAATAAAGGTTCAAATGCCAGTGTTATTGCACAACTGGCTAATACTACTTTCCACATGTAATAGTTCAATTCCTCAGGGGCACCAGTTCTGGAACTGCTTACTGCTTGTGCTTGGGTGGTGAAATGAGGACCAAAGTGCCTTAGGGCTCTGTCACACTAGTGACCCTTTATGAAATGAATCAGGAGATGGAAGACCTTTTTTCTCTCGGTCTCCATAACTGCCTTACAAATATTGATTTGAAAGACTAAGGAAGGTCTTCTGCCTACTGGTTGGACTCCCCAGTTGGCTGCAGGAAACAGCCAGGAATTTGCTCACAGTTTCCCACTGGTGTAGGAGCCCAAGCACTTGGATTGTCCTGTTGCTTTTGCTGGTCGCCTGGGAGCTGGATTGGAAGTGGAGCGGCTGGGAGTTGAACTGGCATGACTACAGGATCCACTATGGCAGATGGTAGCTTTACCCACTGTGCCACAATATTGGCCCCCCCCTTTTTTTTTTAAGGAAGATCGTAGTATGAACACAGCATGTTTTATGAACCTTGTATAGTCAAATGAAAGGTTTTTTGCTGATGAAATACTTTGCTTGCCAGGAGATAATGCTTTGCTTTTTTTTTGCTATTTTTTTAAAAAAGACTTATTTACACAGAAGGATCTATCATGCTATGGTTAGCCGCCCCCCCCACCCCCCAGTAGCCAAAAATGAGCTGGTCCAAAAGCAGGAGCATCTTCCAGGTTCCCTACACGGGTGCAGGATCCCAAGGCTTTGGTCCATCCTCAGCTGCTTTCACCATAATCGGAACTGTGTGGGGAAGTAGAGCTGCGGGGACATGAACCAGTGGCTGTATGGTATTGCTGGCAGTTTGAGGTGCGCGATTAGCTAGCTGAGCTAATGTTCTGATCCCTTTGTCCTAATCCAGACTTTAACTTTCTTAGGAAAACTGCTAGTTTTCTTCAAATTAAATATTGAAAGATGGTTTATACATTTAATATTTGTAGGCAAGAGGAAGAACGACGTAGAAGGGAAGAGGAGATGATGATCCGTCAACGGGAGATGGAAGAACAAATGAGACGCCAAAGAGAGGAAAGTTACAGCCGTATGGGTTACATGGACCCAGTAAGTCAACTAAAATTTGTAGGTTATTTAACCATTTAAATACAAAAGTATTCGCAAGAACAGCTGTGGAAAATGAGCATTTTGCATAAAGTACACATGTATTCCAAAATATTTTCAAGATAATTTTCCTTTTGAGAGACTTCCCCAATGCTCTAATTGGCCTGCGCTGGGTCAGGCTGAAGCCCAGGAGCCAGGAGGCGCCATCTATCTCCTTGTGCCAACATCTCCAAGGGCACCTTAGTAGGAAGCTGGACTTGTAACCCAGGCACTCCAGAATGGAATGCAGATGTCCAAACCAACTACTTAAAAGGCTAGACCAGAGTCCCTGCTGCCCCCCTGCTTTTTTTAAATAAGTGTTTGAGTACTCTGAGTTTAAGTTTTTGAGTGCGTTATTGCATAGGACAAATTTGACTTCTGGTGGAGTGTTGGGATTGGAGTTTGATTAATTCGTAGTGCCAATTTAAAAAATACATTAGATGGTGGCACAAATGCCTTTAGGAGCTTTCCTTCTTTAGTACAGGTGAATGAAAGATGCTTTATTTCTTCCAGAGAGAAAGAGACATGAGAATGGGAGGTGGAGGAGCAATGAACATGGGAGGTAGGTATGAAAGCTAAATCAACAATAGCTACTGGAAGCTGTATTCTGGTGGAGATGTAACCAATGTTTTTGTTTCCCAGATCCCTATGGTTCAGGAGGCCAGAAATTTCCACCTCTAGGTGGTGGTGGTGGCATAGGTTACGAAGCTAACCCTGGAGTTCCACCAGCAACCATGAGTGGTTCCATGATGGGAAGCGACATGGTAATGTATCCTGTGGGACGTAGTACGAAGGAAATTATTCCCAAAACTGAATCTGCTTATTTTTTTTTAAGTAGGTTCTGACTGGACCTCTTAGTTCCCCTCTTACCACATGGTGAACATATAATGCTGAGGGATACTTTGGCAATGTAGAATTCAGTGTGTGGTGACCTAAAAATATGGTGACCAGAGGAGCCGATGTTGTTAGTATGTGGAATTATTGTTGGCAATTAGTAGGTTGAGGTGCTTTCTGCTCTGTTATTGCTGGTGCGCTCTTGAACTTCCAGTGCACAGCAAATCCAAATCTAGAGGTTAGATAATGTATCTGATTATTCTACACCCAAGTGAACATGATTAAATGGCAAACTCGTTCAAGCTGGTATTTGCCATAAGTAGGAGTCAGACTTGAGCTCTGTAGGTCTAGACCTGTTTTATGACATGTAGGACTTTGATCTCTATTTGCTGTGGCTTCTGTCCCATTGGGGAATTGATTAGTGTTTTGACTCGTCGTTTTTCTGCCTGTTGGGCCTGTCTGTAGGTACATCTTCTAAAAAAACTGACATCTCTGTTTTGCTACAAGATAGCAAAAAAAAAAATTCTGTATACTAATTGTATGGGTTTGATCTGACCCTTCTTCACGCTATCCTGTTTTAGGGATACAGATAGCCTGGTAGATCCTTCACCATGATCAGTGAATTGGTGTGACTGGCTGCATTAGGGTTTTACAGATCTTCAGTACGGAGTTGTGGTGGGTTTCAGTGCATTTTTACAGCTGCCTTCAATTTGAGTAGTTCACCCTACAGGTAGGCGTTGGGTAAAAGGGGGAGCTGCGGTGTGTAGCTCAGAAGACTGATTTTATAAATAGAAACGTAAGGATATAGTATGGGGCCTCACCTAATTAAAATCTACCCTTGGCTTGAGAGCTAAGAGTTTCTAAATGGCTGGGTTAAATGCAGTGCTGTTAGCGTTGTTCAAATTAATTTTCAAAATATGTGGCTAACAGTTGGGTTTATATATTTGCTAAAGACATTGTTAGGTATGTATCAAATTTGTAGGATTAATCTGTCATGTTCCTGTAGTTTACATGTTAGAAAACCAGTAGCTAGCTCTTGGGCACTATGAGCTGCTGCAACCATGAAACCTCCAGCTAGCCTTTAAAGTACATGATGAAACCATAAAGGTTTTAATTAAGATTTTAAACAAAGGATTGCAGTTTAGGCTTTTCCAGTAGTCAATAATGTTTGTAAAATCCACCAGATTATACATGGAATAATTCATCTGTCTTGCAACTTGAGGTTCTTTGGAGAAATATTCTCAGTAATGAATTTGGAGAGGCATGGCCTTGGGCTTGATTCCTGTAGGTTTCTGCTGTTTCCAGTCTACAGGTACCTGTAACTAGACCAGTGATGATGTCACTGCTTTATCACAATCGCTTTAGCTTAGTGTCATGCTGCTTGGGAGACCTACCTACAGTAGGGAATTGTAACAGTGTCTGCATTTACAAGAGACTTAAGGGAAAAGTTGGGTATTTGTAGGTGGGCTGTATGTTCAGTTTGCAAAATCACAGATTAATTCTGTGAACATGATTGTTTCTGGTTATTAGTGATGGTGCTGAAGTTGGTATCCCTGTGAGAATATGCAACACAAGTTTTTTAAATCAAGTTTAACTGTGCCGGTAATGAATCTATTAGTCTTTATGCCTTTTCCTTTTGTAGTCCGGTAGCATTTTGTTAAAACATTCAACCTTTTAAGATTTCTGCAACTTAGCAGATGTGTCTTAAGATCTTGAAAAGCACAAGGTTTCTTATGCAGCACATGCCACTAACTGGTGAGTAGGTCTTTGTCACTTCATGGAGTGAGTTGGTTCTGTCTGAGCTTACTTACTTCTTAGGGTTACTTGGAGATTTAATTTTCTGTTCAGACCTTGAAAGTCAGTTTGCAAGCTTCTCAGTGGGTTAATCTGATGTGAAATTTCTTAGAAGTCATTTTGGAATGGATTTTCACATCTGCACTAATTTTTAAACTTTTTAGCACTTCAGAGAAGGTGATCTATTCTTTGAAACAGGTGTATGAGAATGGCTCAAGTGGGAACATACCACAAGGCATGTATTATCGTAAACTAATTTTCAAATTACCCTTTTTTCCTTTCTATGTTCCCGGTACCTGTGGATCGACTCATTGGTGATTGTATCGACGAACGTTGACTACGGAACCTTCTAAAATATTTACTTAACACACATGGACATCAACTACATATAATGAACTGTTAATTACTGTTCCAATAGCGTACTGAGCGCTTTGGGCAGGGAGGTGCGGGGCCTGTGGGTGGACAGGGTCCTAGAGGAATGGGGCCTGGAACTCCAGCAGGATATGGTAGAGGCAGAGAAGAGTATGAAGGCCCCAACAAAAAGCCCCGATTTTAGGTGTGATATCTAGGCTTTCATTCCAGTTTGTTTTTGTCCTTTCTTGTTTAGATACTGATCTTTTAAATTCTTGCATTTTAGTAAGAAAGCTACCTTTTTATGGATGTTAGCAGCTTATTGACCGGATATTTGTAAATGGTCTGTTTGGGCAGGTAAAATTATGTAATGCAGTGTTTGAAACAGGAGAAAAAAATTTTCTTTTTATTTCCTTTTTAATTTTTTTTAACTGTATAATGTCCCTCAAGTTATGGCAGTGTACCTGTGCCACTGAATTTCCGAAGTGTACCAATTTTTTTTTTACTGTGCTTCAAATAAATAGAAAAAAAATAGTTAATATTGATCTTCAACTTTGCCATTCATGCTTCTGCACATTAGGCTGAGAAGTCCACTTTGAAAGCATGGACGTGTCTAGGGCTTGAATGGCAAGTGCCATTTCTAGATGTATGTGGAGGCTAAGTACTGCTTTCTAAAGATCCGTGCCCCCTTGTTTTAAACCGAAGAGATGAAGACTGAAGTAGTTTCATGATTTATTTGGCATTATAGGAAGCAAGCTTTGGTGCTAAGTATTTTTTAAATGGTTATGTAAGCAAAGCTGAACTGTAAATCTTTTCATTCAGGAATATGTAATTAAGATTGTGGAATGGATGTAAGATGATTGGTAGAGGAGAGACCGGGTTTGGTTATGGCTCTTTCATGGCCCCATGATCTATCTCTTTGTTGAAAGGTTTTGAAAAATGGAAAGATTTTTGTTGCCTTTCCCCATTCTTGTTTTTAAAGGAACAGCAGAATCCCAAGCCCTTCAAATGGCTTGTATTGAACTTTTACATTTGAATTAAAGATTGTTAAACATGAAACCTTTTCATGTATTACTTCAAGTAATTTATAAAGATGGGGTTTAGCCTGAAACAGCTTGAAAGCTAGTTACCCTAAAGTACAGCTAGCTGTATACACACATGGTGTACTCTGCAACTTAAATCTCCTTGTGCTACCTCTGTTGGGCAGATCTGTAGGACTATAAAAATCTATTGGTCCTCTTCTAAGAGCGAGTGGTGATTGTTGACTAATAGGGTTGCAGATAACAATTCTTAACTGCAAATTTGCTAACCAGTTTGATATAGCTTTTAATGTAGCACTGAATCAAAAGAATTGCTTATGCTGCAAATCTTCCCACCATAAAGCTTTGGAGTGTTGCGATGGTGTTGTCAGTCAATTGTCAACTTCATTGAATCTCCAACTCTATTGCAGATGGTTTCCTGTTGTCTACTAGTACAACGGGGGCTGATTTCCCAGTGTAAACATGCTAGAGAAGCAACTTGCTAATGCTAAGTAAAGCAATTGAATGGCTGGCTTTGTTCTTAGTTGATTCCATTCAAATCTGTACATTATAGTACTTTCACTATGGAATGTGTCTGCCTTTTACCTCTGTTCTTGGTGCTAATTGGTAAAAGAAATTCTAAATCAAGCCTTTCAAACATGCTGAAGTTTAGTATTGTGCCTGAGTCTATAAGGAGATCCATTGTTAATTCAGTACTCTGTCTATTGGAAGCAGGATAGCATTAAAACACCAGTGGAATATAAGCGCACATTACCAACTTGTGGTGCATAATGTGCTAATTGAGGCAGAAAGTCTGACATGTTCGTTTTTTATTCACTGACCCACTGAAAGTAGGTAGGGATAGCCCTACGATAAATAAATTGAGGGAAGGTGTTTTACACCAAATGAAGTTAAGTGGTGGTAAATATGAGATTTCTCTTTGTGGAAACAAGGGACTTGATTTAAAAGGAGTCCGTTACAATTTGGTTGAATTGTACTGCAGGGACTCTACTGATGACAAGAAAATAAGGGTGTTCATGCGACACCCACAGAGGGTGGACGTGAATAATGTGTGGGTGGGGGTTGGTGGGGAAGTGGGAAAATCTGCCTATAAAATTAATGTTTCAGTTTATTTTTCAGATTACATGCCTTTCTTTATAAGGGATGCTGGCACAGACCCCCTTAAATTAAGCTTTTGGTAGTACTGTACCTTTGAAGAGTGGTGAAGGATGCTAATGGATTATCTCCTGGAAGTTGTGGCTTTTGAGACCCTTGCTGTGGGCTGTAGAATTGCTAAAGGATGTTTAGCAATTAATGTACTTAGTGACCACTGACCTTTGACTCGCCATCACTGCATGAGCAGTGTACCAAGGGTTGTAAGACTCGTACTTTTGAGTAAGTTTGGGAATGTATGATAGATTCTAGCCTAATGTGAATTTAAGTCATCTTAAAATAAGTAATTTCCTGAAAGTTGACCTGAAACTTTGGGCGGGAAGGGGAAAGTGATGATTTTTTGAAGTATTGTAGCCATTTTTCTCATTTTAGGAAGGCTGCCCCATTTCCTCTTCTCCACTTTATTCTTGTAATTTAAAGAGGAACATTGGTTTTTAAAAAACTTGTTTCTACAAATCTTTATATACTACATTGTTTAAGATCCCAGTATATTCATTTGATAGTCTGTAAGCTTAACCCATTGGCTCACATTACTTAAAACCTTAATCCTGCCTGCTCATGACATAGAGTGAAGACATGTAAACCCCACCACTCCTGTTAGATGTACTGTATTATATCACTAATCAGATAACAGTTTGGGGAGCCGTAATGTTATACCTGTGCAATCTTTATAAGTGGCATATTATGGCAGATGAAAATTTAGGAACTTGGCTTTTCTTGGGCAAGCCACCAAGTTGTGGCGGAATGTTTTCTGGTGTTCTTGGACTGCAATTATGCACTATTAAAGTAGTGGCCTGCTACATAACTGCGTTTAGCCAGCATTTCTGCAGTGCGTAACTGTGAGGAACGTAGTACCGCAAATGGCAATGGACATTAGGACCCGGATGTAGTATTCCTGCTTGCTCCAAGATTCTCATTGCCGACTGCATACAGGTAGGTAAAAAGCAATATAATCTAACTTGGTGACTTGCTATGTGCTTTTATTCCGTGGGCATTCTGACATCACACTTCTGACAATGAAATTACAGTGCAGCACCTAACACTTGTATCACAGCCGTGTGGGTTTGGGATTAGAGCTGTAATTTGTCAGGCAGAATTCAGTGCTGTTGCAGTTCTCAGAGAAAAAGTGCAAACTTGCTTCTTTGGTATATCTGATTCAGGTGTGTGGTTTTCTCTAGCTGTATTGTAACTGGCAATAACCTGGAACACTAGTGGTGTGGGGGGGAAAGGAAACCAAAACATACTTGGAAACTGGGGTGCTAAATCTTTGCACCTTGACATGGACTATAGACAACACACGTGGTGGCTAGTCTCTGCTGTAGCAAACTGACCTGCCCTTAGGCTGGCTATATCAGAAGTTTCAGTATGCAACATTGGTGATTATTCTGCAAATTGAGTAAATCAAGACTTAGAGTACAATCTTTTTTTGTTTATGTAACGTGATTGAAGGTTTTCAAAACATGAGCTCCTTGGGAACCCCTTTGTTACTAACTTGGGCTTAGATGGGAACATGATGTGACTAGCTGAAGTTACGCGATTGGTCTAACTGCCACTATGACCTGGGGTAAAGGGTGTGCCACAGCAACTAAGGAGCTGCAGCTGGACGTGTTGGTCATTCCCGTCCTAAGACTCCGTCGTGCTCTGTAGGATGACTGCATGTGTTCAGAGCAGCCTTTTGAATTTGTCTCCCTTAGCTTTGAGAGATGTGATATCACAGTCCAAACTGTTTAATTACAAGAAAAACTTCAAAAACACCTTCCTTGCTGCTTAGGACTTGTATCAACTGTTCCAGACCTCAATTTGACTTACGAAGTCTGTTTTTTTTTTTTTTTTTTTTTTTTAAGATTTATTTTTATTACAAAGTCAGATATAGAGAGGAGGGGAGACAGAGAGGAAGATCTTCCGTCTGATTTACTCCCCAAGTGAGTGCAACGGCTGGTGCTGTGCTGATCCGAAGCCAGGATCAAGGAACCTCTTCCAGGTTTCCCATGTGAGTGCAGGGTCCAAGGCTTTGGGCCATCCTCGACTGCTTTCCCAGGCCACAAGCAGGGAGCTGGATGGGAAGTGGAGCTGCCGGGATTAGAACTGGCACGTTCAAGGCGAGGACTTCAGCCACTAGGCCACGCCACTGGGCCCACAAAGTCTTTTTGGTCTCTGACCTGGTTTTTTGTCAGTTATGCATGAAAAACAACCTTTTAGATGCTTTCTCTGTGACTGGAAAGTTGGGCTTACTGTGCATAAATGCTGGTGAAAACTCCATACATGACTAAAATTTCCTTCATTGTGTCACAACAGCTTACTTACTCTCCAGCAAGTGATTCAGAGTGGGGGCAGGTTTGTGTTCCTATGTAGTCCAATCAGGCAAATAACTTGTGACTGGCTCAGTTCCTCCATACATATAATAAAATGCAGATCAAACATCAGGCACAGGACCCTGATGGGCTCCTGTGTCAGCCTACTAATCAGTGGCCAGTGCTGACCACCATGGCTTCTAGTGGTTGGAGTTCAGAAATAAAAATGTAGGTTTAACTTCTTAGCTGAAAGAATATTCAAACAATGTACTTTGGTATAACATGGACCTCAGACATCATTGGGGTGGGGGGTTAATTTTGCTTTATTCTGCTTCCACATGGTTAGTCTTTGCACTTTAGAATGAGAAACCTGTGACTTAACTTGATTCTTGTATACAGTTTGAAATTGTGAATCTTAGTACAGTGGGGGTTTATTCTTAAAGCACTCAGTCAAAAAATGGACATTAAATGGGTTTCAGTAGTAATGCTACACCAAGGTGCTTGCATTGTATTTCATAATTTTTTAATTGCAAACCAAACCAGAAATCGTTGATGAGAGCAGTATGAGATCAGAGGTGTGATGCCAGAATGCGTTTTCGTACTGCTAGGTTCTTGGAACAGGTACCGGTGCTTTCTGAAAGATGAAAGAGATGAAATGGGTACTCTGCACAGAAGGCCACAAAGCTGCAGATAATGCATAGTTCACTCTCCCCAATAGAGATGCGTGTGACTAGCTTTGGACTTAACGGGGTTGCATGTCTCCTTATTGTTAATCATTGTCAGCTGCAGTGACATGATCACAGTCCTGCACTTACTGCCTCTCCCTCAATGATTTTGGACAGGTTTTAGAGCCAGGATGTTTGTTCTGGGCCTTTATTTGGTTTTGGCTTTGGCTGATAATGTTCCAGTGCTGTCAGCTAGTGCAGTTCTCAGTGGCTGCTTACTCTTCAGGGGATTGACTGCTGCTACCCATCTGTCATTGCTGCTAGATAATGATTGGCAATTTTTAAGAGTCAACTGTGGACATTTCACAGTTGCTGGTAACAATCATAAAAATTTTGCTTTTGAACACCAGTGCTGAGGAGATTTTAATCAGGGGAAGGGAGGGTGAAAGGGTTGAATGTAGAACAGGTTAGGGATAATCTGGAGAGTGGGGGAAGTATGCAAAACGATATAGTATCCCTTATGGATGGTACATGTGCAACAGGGGACTGTTCAGTGCGCCTGTGGCTGTACTGGTACAGGGAGGAAGAAAAACCTGAGCTTGAACCAAGGTCAATCTGTGCTCTGTGGCCCTGCCAGGCATTAGAGGAAGGTGAATGTTTTCTCCCTCAGACACAGTTGCTGTCCAGTAAGGCATTGCTTCCCTGCCCTACTTAAAATTCAATGAGGACATGGAGGGGGACAAACAGGGCACATCATAGGATTGCAGGGTAAAAACTGCAGTGTTGTGTACTGGGTGAGGGGAGGGCTCCTGCTTAGGGGGTCAGCCCGCCTGAGAAGGGAGCAGCAGGGTGTGTGCTTCTTCGGGAAAGCTGATACACTCGATTGGTAAGGTAACCCTTGTCACATACCTCCACATAAGGGATAGTATATTTTGGGTTGCAGGCAAGCTTCATTGTGCTCAGACTGGTGAAACAGTTAGGCTTTTGTATTTTAAAGAAAGCTTTCTTTCTAACTCAAGGTGTCTGCTACTTTAAGAATACTTATAGATTTTTGTTTCCCCCCGTCCCCCATGAAGTTTCTCTTTTTTTTTTAAAGCAGTAACTGACCCCACTCTTTGTCTCTGGAATATTTACTCTTTAAATTTTGAAGTTAACTAGCATTTTCAAGCCTCTGCTCTATACCCCTGTCTTCCGTGCTAACTTCCTCTTGTTATTCTTTAGGTGAGGACCATTGATGTTGGCTGATACTGGAGGACTCTAACTTGAAGGTGAGTCTCTAAAAGCCCTTCACCTCTAGTGACCTTGGAGCTTCAGGTAGCTGTTTAATAGCCAAAATAATTTGATTTAGTTTGATATTCCCCTCAGTAGTTTGATTTGAACATTGATATACAATAGGATATTGTAGAAACTGTCATTTTAAAGTGCACTATTTAAGTAATGAGAATCAGAACCAGAAAGAAAGGTTGAGTTAATGGAAATGCCGATTTTTTTTCCCGGTTCTGTTCCATATTCTTACAACGTAGAGGAACAAGAGAGCTTGGCAAAGCAACAGCTAGAAGAGTGATAAACAGCTTGGGTCTCACCGAGTGCCAGGGACTTGAGTATGTTGGCTGTCCATCTTGCTAACTGAATCCTGGGGAACCCCTGCCAAAACATGTAGCCACTTAATCTCAGAATGTATGTGCTACTAAAATAGTAAGCATAATCAGAATTTATAGTGAAGAAAATAATATTTTGCAGGTGGATAAGCAATTTCTCGAAGACCTGCTACAGAGCGGGAGCCAATTTAAAGAAAGCCCTAATGTGCCAACAACCGAACATCTTTGGGTAAGCTGAGTTTTATTTTTGGATGATACAAAAGTCAATTGTAATAGAATTCACCTATGTATTAATATGGTATGCTATATATTAATGTTTATAGTATATACGGAATATATTACAGTCTTTGCGCTGAAGAAATTTCCTTGGTGCTTCTCAATAATGTTGAGTTTGAAGGGTTTGGCAAGTCACATTCTTAAATTTCATTTGGGAATAATCGTGTTTTTCAATTGGCAGGATCTGGTGAGCTGTGTCAGGACAAAGAGTACAAGGAAGAATCGACGCTTTAGGAATAAAGACATTTTTTTAAATTTTGTCTGTTGTGCTTTTCCTTAAGACTTCCAAAATTTACCATGTATATTCAACAAATGGCACAAAAGGTGTAAAAGCTGAGAAGTCCCAGTCCCGACACATGGCATTCCACGATCTAGACTGCAAATCCTGTGATTGTCCCTGTGGTCAGAGTTCCTTAGTTTAGAAGTTTCCCCCAAAGATGCTGCATTCCAACTTACCCTAGTCAACTCACATGCATGCTAGTAGTGTTACCAGCTTAGTTGTGACCCGACCCCCCCGCCCCAACAGCCCTGGTTTTTGCATGTGCCAGATTTAGCCAGCCCTCCAGCCTCACCCCTTCATCCCACCTAGGTGTGATGCAGCCTAACGGCACATCTAAGGATGGTGTCACCTTGTTCATCCAGGATCTTCCAAGCCCACTCCACATCAGATCTTGTATTTGGCAGATGGTACTGCAGTCCAATCTGACAGCTTGCTTGGGGAATCAAATGATTGATACCAATGAACAATGAACAAAACCAAGCATGAACTCCATATCCTGTGTCCATTTGAGTCCCAGTTCTCTACTCCAGTGCATTTAATTAGGGTCCCAATGCAGTACCCTAGCAGCTAATCTTGGATGTGCCATGATTCCATTTGGGCACCGGTTCTAATCCCAACAGCCCCGCTTCCCATCCTGTCCCTGCTCGTGGTCTGGGAAAACAGTGGAGAATGGCCCAAAACTTTGGGCCCCTGCACCCGTGTGGGAGACCCAGAAGAGGCTCCTGGCTTTGAATTGGTTGGTACAGCTCCAGCCATTGCAGCCATTTGGGGAATGAACAGATGGAAGATCTGTCCTCTTGCATCTAACTTTCCAATAAAAATAAATGTTTAATCTGAACATTGGGCCCAGTGCTGTAACTTAGTAACTAAATCCTGATCACCCACTAAGATCCCATATGGGAGTTGGTCCATAACCTGGTTGCTCCACTTTCTATTTAGCTCCCTGCTTCTGACCTGAAAAGAGTAGATGAGAGTCCAAAGCTTTGGAACCCTGCACCTGCGTGGAAGGCCCAGAAGAGGCTTTTGGCTTTTGGCTTTGGGTCAGCTGCGCTCTGGTCATTGCAGATACTTGGGGAATGAAATGATAGTCTTTCTGTATATGTTTGCTTCAATAAAAGTGAAAGTGTCTAAAATTTTAAAATTTATTTTTAAGTGACTTACTGAGGGCCTGGCATGATAGTGTAGCGGCTAAAATCCTTGCCTTGAATGCACTGGTTCTAATCCCAGTGGCCCACTTCCCATCCAGCTCCCTGCTTGTGGCCTGGGAATGTAGTCGAGGATAGCCCAAAGCCTTGGGACCCTGCACCCACGTGAGAGACCTGGAAAAAGCTCCTAGCTCCTGGCTTTGGATTGGCTCAGCTCCAGCCATTGCTGTCACTTAGGGAGTGAACTATCTGATGGAAGATATTCCTCTCTGTATATCTGCCTTTCCAATAAAAATCTTTTGGGGGTAGCGCAGTGGTTAAGGTCCTCGCCTTGCACGCCCAGGATCCCATATGGGTGCAGGTTCTAATCCCGGCAGCCCTGCTTCCCATTCAGCTCCCTGCGTGTGGCCCTGGAAAGCAGTCGAGGATGGCCCAAAGCCTTGGGTCACCACTGCACCCCTGCGGGAGACCCAGAAGAAGTTCCCGGATCCTGGCTTCGGATCAGCATAGCATCAACTGTTGTGCTCACTTGGGGAGTGAATCATCAGGCGGAAGATCTTCCTCTCTGTCTCTCCTCTCTGTATATCCGCCTTTCCACTAAAAATAATAATAAAATAAATCTTCTTTAAAAATGAGTTACTGAGGGCCCGGCGCGGTGGCGCAAGTGGTTAAAGTCCTCGCCTTGCACCCCCGGGATCCCATATGGGCGCCGGTTCTAATCCCGGCAGCCCCGCTTCCCTTCCAGCTCCCTGCCTGTGGCCTGGGAAAGCAGTCGAGGACGGCCCAAAGCTTTGGGAACCTGCACCCGCGTGGGAGACCTGGAAGAGGCTCCTGGCTTCGGATCGGCATAGCATCGACCCGTTGCGCTCACTTGGGGAGTGAATCATCGGACGGAAGATCTTCCTCTCTGTCTCTCCTCTCTGTATATCCGCCTTTCCAATGAAAAAATAATAAAAATAAATCTTTAAAAAAAAAAAGTTACTGAAATAGTGAATGATTAATTTTCCATTGGAGAATCAATGGAATTTTTCTTTCCTGAACAAAATGATTTTCTACAGTATAATTGAGGCTCCTTGGTTCTATTATCAATCCGTACTTTGCTCTTTCATCTTTTGCTTCTTTTCGGTAACTTGTTTAAGTTTTTGTAAAGCTACTTTAAAAGTTTATCTGGCTTACTTGAAGGAGAAAAATATTTGAGAAAGAGGTCTCCCATCCACTGATTTCAACTCCTCAAATGCTCTCAACAACCAGAGGTGAGACAGGCCTCACAGAAGAGTCAGGAACTCTGTTGGTGAGCTGTGTAGGTAGCAGAGCCCCAACCGCCTGCGCTGTCTGTTCCCACTAAGGGTGCAGATCAGCAGGAAGCTGGAGCGAAGTGGGAGCTGCTGGGACAGGGCCATCTCCGTGTTTTCACCATTGTACCAAAAGCCCTGTCCAGGTATTTTGTTTTGTTTTCATTGGAAGCAAATCTAATTTGACCCTCATAGCCTTTTCCTTCTTTTGTGTTAGGTCCTGCAAGGCTGTTACATATATATATATATATATATTTTAAAGATTTATTTTTATTATTTTTTTATTGGAAAGGCGGATATACAGAGAGGAGAGACAGAAAGGAAGATCTTCCGTCCGATGATTCACTCCCCAAGTGAGCGCAACGGGCCGATACTATGCCGATCCGAAGCCAGGAGCCTCTTCCGGGTCTCCCACGCAGGTGCAGGTTCCCAAAGCTTTGGGCCGTCCTCGACTGCTTTCCCAGACCACAGGCAGGGAGCTGGAAGGGAAGCGGGGCTGCCGGGATTAGAACCGGCGCCCAAATGGGATCCCGGGCGTGCGAGGCGAGGACCTTTAACTACTTGCGCCACCGCGCCGGGCCCTACATATATATATTTTTAAGGTTTATTTATTTTTATTGGAAAGGCAGATATACAGAGAGGGGAGACAAAGAGGAAGATCTGTCCAATGGTTCACTCTGCAAGTAGCTGCAATGGCCAGAGTTGAGCCAATCCAGCCAAGAGCCTCTTCCAGGTCTCCCACGTGGGCGCAGGCTCCCAAGGCCTTGGGCTGTCCTTGACTGCTTTCCCAGGCCACAAGCAGGGAGCTGGATGGGAAGCAGGGCTGCTGGGATTAGAATCAGTGCCCATATGGGATCCTGGCACATGCAGGGTGAGGACTTTAGCTGCTAGGTCACACTGCCAGGCCCTCAATTTTCTTAAGATATTCAGTCAGACTGCACATGTGTTTAGAGATCCAAGGTAGGTCATCACACACTCTCATATGTTGACAGGATTCTTTTTTTTTTAAGGTTTATTTATTCTTATTGGAAAGTCAGATATACAGAGAGGAGGAGAGACAGAGAGGAAGATCTTCCGCCTGATGATTCACTCCCCAAGTGAGCGCAACGGCCGATGCTATGCTGATCCAAAGCTGGGAACCAGGAACCTCTTCTGGGTCTCCCACACGGGTGCAGTGACCCAAGGCTTTGGGCCATCCTCGACTGCTTTCCAGGGCCACAGTCAGGGAGCTGGATGGGAAGTGGAGCTGCCGGGATTAGAACCTGCACCCATATGGGATCCTGGGGCGTTCAAGGCGAGGACTGTAGCGGCCAGGCCCTTTTTTTTTTTTTTTTTTTTTTTTAAGATTTGTCTACTTTGGGCCTAGCGGCCAAACTCCTCACTTTGCCTGGTTTGTGGGTGTGATATTCCATCAGAGTTCAGTCTGGAGATTGAAATCATGTAAGTTATCTCAACAGACAGCCTAGTTTACTGGATATTATGCAACTAAAATGGCTTCAGAAGCACCAACTGCTCCTAGAACCAGGAGTGTGTGGAGCAGGGAGGACCTGGCAGAGCTTTGAACCCTAGTCCACTGCTGCCGTGGGACTCGAGTCCCATCTCTTTGAGAAGGCAATTTCTGCTCAACCAGGCTGGCCACTTCAGAGTGCACAGGTGGAACTGCCTTTTAATGACACTGCTGTGCCTTGATGAGCCTTGCCTTGATGTAATTCAAACGTTGAGAGTCCAGCCTCCTCTCTCCTTCACTGAGTCGCTGTATTTGATCATTCCTTATGGCAGTGGCTCTCTGGCCAATCTAGTTACCAGAGTTTTCATCGTCTGGATTTCTTAGATGGCGGTCATGGAGGCAATGTTCATAAGTTGATTGTGAGGTTGTGGCTTTTATACTTCAGTCACCTTTGAGTGGAATGCAAACTAGTAATTTCATTGATTTGTCATTCAATGTCATGATGAGAAAATATGAAAGCAACCACATTTATCAGTAGATTTTTTTTGTTTGTTTGTTTTGTTTTGTTACTTGAAAGGCAGAATTGGAGAAAGAATGGACTGGTTCCTCACAGGGCTGCAGTTTCGGGCTAGGCCACGTCAGAGCCCGGAGCCTAGAACTCCATGAGTGTCTCACATGGCAGGCTCCCAGATGTCTGAGACATGCTCTGTTTTTCCAGGCATATTAGCCAGGAGCTAGACTGAGGTGGATCAGCTAGGAGTCAAACCACCGCCCATAAGTGCTGTTGTTGTGGGTGGTGGCTTAACATAGTACACTGCGATTCTGGCCTTTTGGGAAAACAAACATTTGGGGCCTGGTGCGACTGCTCAATGATTAAATCCTCACCTTGCAAATGCCAAGATCACACATGGATGCCAGTTCGTATCCCAGCTTCTTCACTGTTCATTTAGCTCTTTGCTTGTGACTGTGGAAAGAGTTAGGATGGCCTGAAGCCTTGGGACCTTGTACCCATGTAGGAGACCTGGAAGAAGCTCCTGGCTCTGGGATTTGGATTGGCTCAGCTCTAGCCATTTAGGAAGTGAGCCAGCAGA